AAATTGTTAAGTTAATTTCATAATTAATTACAGATTTGAAATTTTAATTTCATTTCATAAATTAATTTCAGTTCCTGCTTCCACATGGCAACAATATTTACTGATGAATTTAATTATAGGTGCTATTATAATTTAAGGACAACAACATTAAAAGTTTAATCTTTAACTATCACCTCTAATTTGAAATTTTAATTTCCTTTGCAATTAAGTTCTGCTTTTACTTGTTAGTTTATAAGACCACTGGCCCATCCAGTTAGTAAAATCCGAAAAGAAAATTAGGGTTTTCCTCAATACTTAAGTCAGTTAGTCTCCTGCTGCTAACACAGCAAAACCAACCCCCTAGGTGTATCAATTTAACAGCGCCACCACCCTGTCATTTTTCCTAACATTTGGGAGCAAAACTTCTCTCTCCTTCTCCTTCTCTCTCTCAGCTGTTTTCTTCTGAGTTGACTACTGCGGTTGTTTGCTGGGATTTTGCCTGTGAAAATCATAAAGCAGAGATTTTTAGCAATTAAACAGGTATTTGCGAAACTTGAGAACGTTGGTTCAAAACCATTTACCATTTACCTTCCACTCTCTTGCGAAACCCTACCCAGCTAAGAGGACTGATAGGCGTCCGCTGAACACGCACAGTCCTGGTATTTAGAAATCCCCATTTCCAAACACCGGTTTAGAAGCATCCTTCTAAATCAAACTTAACAAAAAAGGAAAAGATAAGAAAATTTAAGTATACTCATTCTGCTACCAGAAAAGGGTATTTTGTTGTTTTATCTTTCAGTCTCATCTTACCATTAACTTTCTTTCCTTACAAAAAAACCCCTTTCTCTTACAGGACAATTGGAAGCAGCCAATTATTATTCTGTTCCTTGCTCTGTTCGTTATTTTTCTTTTCTCCCTCTGTTCTCTAGCTGTGCTACCCATGTGTGCGTACTAATTTTCCCACAGAGACTACAAATTAGAAGCACGCCCACCGGAGGATCACAGTCGCCGAGAACTACACTCACCTGTCCATTACACACTCACCACCAAACCACACTTGACATTGCACACTTACACCCCTGTTTTGCCTTGTTTGTTTTGTTTTGTTTTCTCTTCTTCAAGGTCTGTGTCAGTCTAGGTTCTAGATCTCCCTCACCGTGCCAAAACATGTCTCGCACAACAGACTAGGCCAACATGACTCTGTTGGCCACTGGGAAGAATCTGAACTTCAAAACTCTCTTCCTGAGAAACCTCCATCCTGGAGTAAGCCACCATCTTGGCGTTCTCGCATGTCCGCGAACAATGAATGCTCAACAGTTGCGAGACTTGGCGCATAAAGCCTACGGCAAACAGAAGATGGCCTCAGAAAAGGGCGCCAAAACCCCAGCAGTTCTTGACTTCAACACTCAAAGTCAAGGTCTGGCTCTAGAGGGCGCCCAACATCAAGACCATGCCAAGCCGCCACACAAAGAGCGGAACACACCCTCGTCCAACAGAGAACGAGACTCCCATGCTGGTACCCGACCTAAACAGAGGAACAACCGCTGGGATGGACCGCGTGGACGACAACACTCACCTGGACGTCACTGGGAAAAATCTTGGGACCAACCCAGACCTCGTGAGAATCAAGGGGATAGATCATGGAATCAGCCAAACTCATTTGGAAACTCAAGAGGAAAAGGCTCGTGGGAATCCAATGGAACCTCCAAGGGAAAACGACAAACACACCCGGGAGCAACCAGTCCAAGGAATCAATGAAGGAACTCGCAAAGATTCCAAGCTGACCGAGCTCAAACTGAATCCACACAAGAACAAAAGACAGTACAGTGTCTCGACTCATAAGAGCTAATGACAATGATGATGAAAGAGTTCTTCCACCGAAAGGAGGAGGATCGGAAGTGGGAAAAGAAAGAGAAACCAGAGTCAGCCTGACTAGCAGCCGGAAGAGAAGGCAGCGACCAGCTGACCCAACCAGCCACAGAGAACAGCACTCCTTCACCTCACTCTCAGAGAACCGTAACCTCCATAACTTCAGACGGACAAGAAATCCTACCTGAACAACCCGCAAAACAGTCAGAAACTGACCCAACACCTGATGCGTTAGATCACAGCAGCGTCCAACAAACACCTGCTGACGAAACCACTCAAGTTCCTGAAAGTGCTGTCATGGTCATCTGCCACTCCTCCGACGAACACCAGATCAGTCCTGACATCCTACCTGTCTCATCCCAAACTCCAGTCCCTCAACTACTGGGCGACCTCATTGAGAAAGGTATTGCAAGAAAGTTTTACCTCTCCATCATCATCCAACGCCACATCAAATTCGAAGCCCTCCTGGACACCGGAGCCGACATCACTCTAATGTCAACTGAACTCCTTGAAGAAGTCCAAGAAAGAACAAAGAGGTCTAATAGCACCCTCAAACTTCAAAGGTGCGAGCTGAACCTTCAAGCATATTCCCACACAGGCCTACAGCTAAAACATATGGCCCCAATTCACCTAACTGTGGGACCAATGGACCTCGTTCACCCAGTATACATCTCACCACTCAACACGTATCCACTCCTCATTGGAAAAGACCTCCTTAATCGCTTTGAACCCTTAATTGACTTCAAGCAACTAAAGATATGGACGCAAGTCCATGAGCCTCTACCCTGCCAGTCAGTAGACTCCAACGAGTCGCAGTGTCA